GGGTTTTGAAGATATTCCTGTCCAGTGTTTCAAACCATTGAATGCATTGTCTTCCTCTCCCCATACAACCCCATGATCTATCCTCTCTCTTTCTCCACCCACTCACATTCGTCCGCAACACAGTCTCCATACGTCACACCCCCACCCCCCCTCACACCTTAACATCGCGCTCGTTGGACATGGCATCAATGAGAGGCGGCTTCGCAAGCTGTGACCCACCGTCTCATCACCTCTCATCACCTCTCATCATCTCCCCCTAACCCCTCCCCACACCTTAACATCGCGCAGCACGGGGTCGTTGGAAATGGCGTCAATGAGAGGCGGCTCTGTGAGCGGGGTCCCCGTGGTCACTCCATCGCCCTCCTCCCCGCTGCTCTCGCTCCCACCCCCGCTGTCCGTGCTGCCATACACGTTGCTGCGGTCCCACATGCTGCCGCGGAGGGGGGAGGAAAGGGGAAAGCAGAGGAGAGGAGGGTTTTTTAGTCGACTCAAAAGCTGCCCGCCCCCGCTGTCCGTGCTGCCATACACGTTGCTGTGGTCCCACATGCTGCCGTGGGCCGGGGGGGGGGGAAGGGGGGAAGCGGAAGGAGAGGAGGAGATGGAGCATGGCGGAGCAATGCAGCAGGAAGGGAAAGAGAGAGAGATGAGAGGGGAAGAGGGAGGGAAGAGTTTTTTTTCTTCAAGTCTGGTCTGAATGGGCTCAGAATACAATAAAGAGGGGCGGGCGGCAGGGCAGGCAGTGGCACCTGGAGGAGCGAGTGAGGATGGCGGCGAGGTCGAAGCGGAAGCCGTCCACATGCATCTCCTGCACCCAGTATCTGCTTGCCGGAACACACACAGAGAGGCGGGGGTGGAAGATGGAAGAGGGGAGAGGGGAGAGGGGAGAGAGGAGAGAGGAGAGGGGAGAGAGGAGAGGGGAGAGAGGAGAGAGGAGCAAATAGGATTATGAGGCGCCTCGAAAAGCAGGCGGAGGTCGAAGTGAAAGCCATCCACATGCATCTCCTGCACCCAGTATCTGCTTGCCGGGCACAGGGAGTGATGAGATCATGAGAGCAGGTACGAGGGAGGAAGGTGTTTCTGAAGCGCCTCAAATAATCACATGAAAAAAAAACAAAAAACAAAACAAAAAAAAGGACCAAGAAGATGAAAAGGAGTGAATGTGCAGGGAAGGGGGCGCAGCGGTGGTAGTAGCGATTGGTTGCACCTGAGGCAGTCGACAATGAACTTGCGCACGACAGGGTGGTTGCAGTTGAAGGTGTTGCCACAGCCGGAGTAATTGTAGAACTCGCCCTGTTGCACACACATGGTACATACATGGCACACAGCACCACATCAGCACACGGCACACAGCACATGGCACACAGCACCACGGGGAGAGCACAGGTGAGGCTGCGCAAGAACATCAGCAGCAGCATCAATAGCATGAGAAATACGCGAAGCAGTAGCACCAGCAGCAGCACCAGCACACACACACACACACACGGCGGCTAAAGAGCAGTGCGCATGCAGCATAGAGCACAGCGTTGACTTTTGAGTCGACTCAAAAGTCAACTCGGCTAAAGTGCAGTGCACACGCAGCATAGAGCACAGCACTGCCAGTGGTGCTTGCTGTCCCTCCCTCCCTGCCTGACCTCGCCACAACAGCCGCAACACAAGGAGTACCACCAGGCCCCCATTCCACCCTGTCAAAATCACTTTTGAGAATTCTCAAAGGCGTATCACAAGGGCCCCATTCCACCGACCCACCCTCCAAGGGAACCATTACATCAACTAAAGCAGTATTTTTAACGCACCCACCAAGGGGAAAAAAATCCCCACCCACCCATGCACCCACGTATCCACCCACTTAGCCAGCCAGCCAGCCAGCCACCATGGGAGCAGTCATGTAAAACACGCAGTTGCAAATTCCTCTAAAACGTGATGGTGGGTCCCTCCCAGCTCGTTGCCCTTCGCCGTGGCGGTGGGAGGCACGCCTTCATCATGTCCTTGAAATCTCGTACTGCCTCCCGCGTGTAACGAGATGGGCTTTGAGCCGCCGCAGATGAGAAAAGGCCTTCTGAGGTGCCTGTTAAAGGCCAAACACTACGCCCACCACCCGCCCACCCACCCCTCCCATCCACCCACCTATCCACCCACCCAGCCCAGCCACCCACCATGGGAGCCGTCATGTAAAAGACGCGGTTATCAATCCCCCGGAACGTAATCGTGGGCCCCAGCTCGTTGCCCTCGGCCGTGTGATTGAACACCACGTCGAGAATGACTTCCACGCCGTGGCGGTGGCACGCCTTCACCATGTCCTTCAACTCGCGCACTGCCTCCCTCCCACACGCCGCCCCGCCCGCTGCTGCGTAGCGGATCATGGGCGCAAAGTACCCCACCGTGCTGTACCCCCAGAAGTTCATCCTGGGAGGGGGGAAGGACCGGGGCGGGGGGAAGGGGTAGCGTGGGAGAGAAGGATGCGGGGAACAGTTGGGTCCAGTCCAGGGAGAGCTTCGCCTGCTGCTGTGTATCCTCAAGACCTGCCCGTCCCACATCTCCTCACCTCAAAACGCGTCTCACAACAACATCCATCGCTCGCAATCACTTGAAGTCTTTGGACTTGGGGTTATGCGCGCGTACTATTCAATTCAAGCTTGTTGAGCTCGTGGAGTGCTCAGCAGCAGCAGTGTAAACCCCAGCCCGCCTGAGCGCCTCACCCAGAACGCGCGCAGCGTACTCACTTGTAATCCTTGGTGATCGGGTTATATTATAATACGCATAGCAGCACTCCAGTTCAGTTCATTACACTCGTGCGTGGGCAGCAACTCCACCACCGTCACCCCCAGCGCCTGCTGTACGTGCCCGGGTGCTGCACTCTCGCACACTCACACGCACTCACTTGCAGCCCTCCGCCAAGGGGTTGTACGACAGTTTTGAGTCGACTCACAACAAGACTATCGCACACTCACACGCACTCATCTGCAGTCCTCGGCCAAGGGGTTGTGCGACAGTTCTACGCCTTGTCCTCGAACCCTCTCTAGCACATCTCAAGAGTCAAGGCCCGTCTCAGAAAACCTCCCCCACCCCATGCACGCACTCACTTGTAGTCCTTGGCCTACCGGGTTGTATAGGTAGGGCTCGAGCCCTCTAACGCACCTCAAGACCCGTCCCGTCTCCCACCTCCGCACACACACACCCACACTCACTTGTAATCCTTGGTCATAGGGTTGTACGCGTAGTATTCAAGCTCGTTAAACTCGTGAATGGGCAGCAGCTCAACGGCCGTGACCCCCAGCGCCTGCAGGTACGGCAGCTTCTCCACCAGCCCGCTGTACGTGCCCGGGTGCTGCACGGCGCTGCTGCTGTCGCGTGTGAACCCCCGCACGTGCGCCTCGTAGATCACCAGGTCCTTCATCGCATGGCGCGGCGGCGTGTCGCCCTCCCAGTCGTACTGCACGTGGGTTGTGGGGCAGGGGGCAGGGGGTGTGAAGTGTGGGGATGGGGGGAAAGGAGCGTGGGCGCGGGGGCGTGTCGCCCTCCCAGTCGTACTGCACGGTTGTTGGAATGTGGGGGGGGGTTGGGAAGAAGGGGGGAGGGGGGGGGGGGGGGGAGGAGCGGGGGGGAGCGGCGGCGGGGAGGGGGGCTTTTGACGGGGGAGCCTGCGGCGGGGGGCAGGGAGCGTGGGGCCTTGGGGTGGGGGAGTGGAACAGGCAGAGGGAATGAGGAGGAGAGGTAAAACTTTGAAAAGATCTCAGCAACCGCACCATCACATTTCCACACCAGCCATGTAACCCCATGCCATCCCCAACTCATCCCCAACTCATCCTCACCCCTCCCCCTCCCCGCACCCCACCATCCCCGCACTCCACGTCAGCAGCACCACCCGCCCATCCCCTCTCACCTCGTCGTCCTCGGGATGCGGCACCATGCCCGCCATTTTATAGAATTCTCAAAAGTGATTCCCAAACAGCACCACCCGCCCACCCCCGCTCACCTCGTCGTCCTCGGGATGCGGCACCATGCCCGCCATTTGCGGCCAGCACTCGCCTCCCGGCGCCACCTCGCCGTATTTCTCGCGGCTCAGCACGGCCTGCGATCGCGGGAAATGGAAGGCGGAAGAGCGGAACGGCAGCGGGGAGAGAGCACGGGGGATGGGGGGGGGACAGGCGAGGGGGAAGGGAGGGGGAGGGGGATCGTGAGCGGAGATGACAGAGAAGACGAAGGGTGAGGAGCAGAGAGGTGGAGGAGATAGAGTGAGGGGAAGATTGTGCGGGGAGCAGGTTAAGAGGATACGCGGAAGAGGAGGCAGGGGGGAAGCAGGACAGCAGCTGGGCGGGGGAAAGGGGGAGGGAGAGGGAGAGGGCAGCGCGAAGGAGGAGATAGAGGAGTGAAATGTATGAGACGGGGAAAGCGCCGGGGGAGGGGAGAGAAAGGGGAAGACGCGCGGAATCAAGAGACGAGAGGAAGACAGGGAGATGGGGGAGGCAGTCGAGGGCGGGAAAAAGGCGAGAGTCGGGCGACTCAAAGCAGGGAGCAGGCGGGGGAGAGACAGGGGGGGCGAGAGGCAGGAGGAGAGAGAGAGAGAGAGAGAGAGAGAGAGAGAGAGAGAGAGAGAGAGAGAGAGAGAGAGAGAGAGAGAGAGAGAGAGAGAGAGAGAGAGAGGCACGGGACACGGCGCAGAAACCTTGGCGTAGGGGTCGAGGACGATTTTTGAGGCGTCGAAGCGGTGGCCCTTCTGCGGCGCGAAGGGCCCGTCGATGCGGTAGCCGTAGAGCAGGTTGCGCGAGAGCGCCGGCAGCATGATGTGCCACACGTCGCCCGTGCGGTTCAGAATCGGGTGCAGCGGCACCTCCGCGCTCGGCTTGCCCTGGCGGAAGCGGAAGGCGGAAGCGCGGAGGGGGCAGAGGGAGGACAATGGAGGGTAAAGGAAGCGCGAAATTTAGAGGATGCCGCGTAGGTCACTCACTGAACTTTGAAAATCTCGACATGGTTCAAAGCCAAGAACTCGACACGGATATCTCTATATTCTACCTTCTGCATGGGAGATCCGACATGGAGAGAACAGAGACGCAATGGACCTTTGCTGAGAATAAAGGTTGCCACGGCTGAGCGTCGTGTAACGAGTAGATTTTTGAGAGGACTCAAAAGTTGGATTCTAGCCGGAAATAACCGCTGCCACGGCTCAGCGTCTGTCTGTCCTGTTCCTCTCTATTTTTTTCGCTGCATCTGCCCTTCAGATACGCAGTACCTAGAAATCAGTCTACCACTTGATTTCCACCCCACGCTCGTCAACTTCCGCCTTTGGCTTGTCACACTGCTGCCATTACAGCTCTCTTTTGAGGCGCCTCGAAAGCCTACCACTTGAATTTCACCACAAGCTCGTCAGAATCCGCCTTTGGCTTGTCAAAACAGCTGCCATTACGGCTCTCCGCCAATTATACAACACCGAAGATCCGATCCTTCACCACTGCCAACACCTACTGCCTGATAGCGAATCGATTTCCATGGCTCCTCCCTACCTGCGCGAGGCTTTCAGGGGTGAACAAGCAGAGCGACACGGCGGTTGCTCCCGAGGAGTGACTTTTGAGGCGCATCATAAGTCGATATTTTCCCCCCATGGCTCCTCCATACCTGCGCCAGGCTCTCGGGGGTGAACAGGCAGAGCGACACGGCGGTAGCTCCAGACGAGTGAACGGCGAAGTTCACGCCGTTGTCCACGGCCGTCGCGCCGAACGGCGTCGCGGATCCGCGCTGCGGCGTGTCGTACAGCACGCCGTGCCCGCTGCCGAAATCGCGCTCCGCCATCCGCCTCACCATCGCCGAGTCGCGCAGGAACGACGGCGGCTCGTACAGCACCGCGCGCGGCGGCGGCTTCGCGACGCGTGGCGTTGTGACGCGTGTCCTCGGGTGAGACGAGAATGGCGACGCGAGCGCAGGGATCTTGATTTTCAAGTTTCCGGGAATCAAGGAGCCATTGGAGGCCGATGAGTCTACGAATGGCGACCGTGAAGGTATTTTAATGAGACGACTGGGGCCGCTCGATAGGGAGACGGGGTTAACAGCGAAATTGACGGCTGACCGACAGCCCAGCAAAGGGCCGTCCATGATGGAGAGACGCGATAAGTTGTGCAATATCGCAGGATCCGGGACCCAGATTCGTCACAGGAATATATTAGAACGGAAAGCGATCGCCAGACGCGGCGATCGCAACGATCCTCGCTGCTCCTCGCGCTTCCGCTTCACTCGGTCCTTTCGAGATAGCCGAATGTGGAATGCGGGGGGAACGAAATACCGCGAGGAGGGGAAGGCGAATGTGAGGATTGAGCAGAGAGACTCCGAGTGAAGGAGCAGGAGGCAGGTGAAATCGGAGCCAATGTCCCTCACAAAGCAACAAAACGGAATTTGGCGGACGGGGGTAGGCAAGGCACTACAATGCATTACTGTTGTGCACAGGTCACGGACATCGAGGATGGCGGAGTGGAAGGGAACGGCAGGGCGGATGGAATGCAGGGGGGATGCGAGAAGGCAGGTTAGTTGCTGACACAAATGTGTGGTGGAGCGGAGGGGAGTGGAGGGGGTGTGGCGGTGGATCAAGTGACAGATAGGCTGACTGCCGGGAGAGAAGTTTGGGGCAGTAAGCAAAACAAACTGCAAATATTAGTTGTGCTGTGCAGTTAATTAATGTGCTAGAAAATTACTGCCCAACACCACGAAAGACTTCTCCCCAAAACCGTCCCCGAAGCGAGGATGCGTCGGGTCAGGAAGAGTTTCTGATGAAAAAAGGCGTGGCTTGATCTGGATGCAACTTCGGGCCACAGGGGGAGAGGCCATTTATGGTTTGGTGGAGTTGACCTGACACGCACGCAGTGCCCAGTTGGATCTGATCCGCGCCGAGCCTGCAAAAAGTGCTCTAGTCTTGTGCTGGCCCAGGTGGAGGACCGTCAGCGAATCGGAGAGTGTGAACAATTTGAGGCGAATTTAACGGGTGTGCGACAAAGGACGACGAGTGTCATCCGACTTCGTAAGGCTTTGATGAGGATTTCTGCGATGACAGTCGTAGCTTTATCCAGATGCTGATGTCTTCGCTCGTGCGTATGACTCAGCCTACACTTCATCCCCGAGAGCGAACTTGCCCCTCCAACGGGTAACGGAGGTCATCCACAAAACCATCCAGAGTATGAAGACTCGAATGACCACGTCATTACCGACACCGTGCAGCACTACACTAAAAGGCGTCTGGGAAGAGAGCAGTCATGCTTTTCCTGACGTGGAGAGCTCGAATGCCCAATAGCGCGACGTACTGCCACCGCAGCATGGCTTGACCAGTGAAACGAGTGGCACGCCCGAGGGTTCGCCATGCTGGAAGCTGCCACACCCACCAACCCCGAACACTGATCGGATCAGGTCCTCCAGAAGGTGTGATGCAATTTGTGGGATTGACATCAGAGGGAGGTACAACATGGTTCGTGAAGCTCAGAGATAAATGCAGTCTACACTTACTGAAAACAGTCACTATGTTCACCCTGTATATCCCTAAAAGCAGCATTACCATATGAACGACTGTACAAAACTGTCATCCACTGTAAGGAATTTTCTCGGCATTACTTACGGAGCCCGACTACATCGCGTACAGCAACAGCCGTTGTTCGCCCGTTACTGCTAACGGGACTTCGCCAACTTCGCGCGCACTGTTTTGCCAAACCTCGCACTGCTGGCCCGGCCGTGTCGGCCTACGCTTCGGGACTGGCCCGAGCCTCGCTGCCAGCATAGCACTAGCTAGCACGCACGCACCGCGTTACTGTTTGCATGTTTCGCGTATAAATGTTCGCTCATGCCTTCGCTCACATCTTTGTACTCGTTTGACACCTTAGTGCAATTCTCGCTACTTTGATTCATTGCACTCGTAACATCCACTCATCATCGCACTGCTGTGTTGAACATGCAACTCGTTATAAATTTCATGAAGATACTCATACTGAGTCATTTGTATACCAGTGTGAGGAAAATCCCTTTTCCTTCCTTCGCATCCCTGCTCAAAGCGTACATCACTGTAGCACCATAGTCAGCACCGTTACCACTCGGCACCCTCGCATCGACAATCCGCCCGCCAACTTCGCACATCGCACCCCGACCTCACGGCTCGGCGGGTAACCCGCGCTATGGGCCTCCGCTTCGACACTTTTTCCCAACCTCAGTCCCAGGCCCGTCGCGCGACAACCACAGTCCATTACCGTTACCACTGTAGTTTCGCTATATATTCTTCGCGCATGCCTTCGCTCATTGTACTCTTGCTTCGATAGTGCAATTCTCGTTCGTTCGCTCAATTGCACTCGTAACACCTAGTATTCAGAGCCTACGATCTCCTTTCGGACCGCACCCACACCTTCGCTTCCCCACTATCTCAAATTTTGGGGGGGGTAGACGTCTCTCAGCGACACAGCACCGCCGCTCGTAGTGATCTCTCGTAAGCACGCACGGCCACGACCGAGGCTCTCGCTGAGCTCGCCCGACACCCCCGCCATGGCCGAATTCGCGCTCGCCACATTGACGCAGGAGCAGCTCGACCGTCTGGTGCGCCAACTTGAAGATTCGGCGCTCGAAATTGCGACGCTCACGGCGGAACGTGACTCTGCGCGTCAGCAATCAACGATGAACACTCCAGCGCCACCACACGCAGCGACAAATGCATCTGCACAATCAGACGAGCCGATTGTCATCTCGTCCGGCACACCAACACAAAACAACAGCGTGGGACAGCGCTCACGCGCAGCCAGCGATGGCGCTGCCTAGCCGATGCCTGGCATGGGAGGAAACAGGGTCGCACCAAGTCTGCGGGAGCCTCGCGAAGCCCATCGGCACGTGGAGTTCGCGACGACAAGTGGCGAACAGGCCATCATGGTGTCAAATTATCATATTGTGTAGGCTATAGTGGGGTAGCCTATATGGGGTACACATTTCTAGGGTTGCATATTTGTATCACTTCCATTCCTTAGTCATTCATTCTCGTTCTACTTTCCTCATGGTATCGAGCAGGTTCCCCCGTGGGAACTGTGCCTAAGGCCCACCACATCGATTTTTTTTCCTGCCCGAAGCGCGCTCAGCCCGAGTCGCGCTCCGGGCTCTCACCTCTTCGAGCCGCCCTTCTCAGCGGCCCCGCCGCCCTTCGCTGCGGCCCCGCCGCCACACATTGCGGCCCCGCCGCCCTTCTTCGCGGCCCTGCCGCCCTTCGCTGCGGCCGCGCTGCCCCTCGTCGCGGCCCCGCCACCGTTCGCTGCGGCCCCGCCGCCCGTCTCAGCGGCCCCGCCGCCCTTCTTCGCGGCCTCGCCGCCCTTCGCTGCGGCCCCGCTACCTCACGTTGCGGCCCCGCCGCCCTTCGCTGCGGCCCCGCCGCCCGTCTCAGCGGCCCCGCCGCCCGACTCAGCGGCCCCGCCTCCCGTCTCAGCGGCCCCGCCGCCCTTCACTGCGGCCCCGCCGCCTCTCTCGCTGCGGCCCTGCCGCCCTACGCAGCGGCCCCGCCGCCCTTCACTACGGCCCCGCCGCCTCTCTCACTACGGCCCCGCCGCCCTACGCTGCGGCCCCGCCGCCCTTCACTGCGGCCCCGCCGCCTCTCTCGCTGCGGCCCCGCCGCCCTACTCACCGGCCCCGCCGCCCTTCACTGCGGCCCCGCCGCCTCTCTCGCTGCGGCCCCGCCGCCCTACTCACCGGCCCCGCCGCCCTTCTACTGCGGCCCCGCCGCCCTTCTAAGCGGCCCCGCCGCCCTACTCAGCGGCCCCGCCGCCCTTCCCAGCGGCCCTGCCGCCCCTTCACCAGCGGCCCTGCCGCCCTACACCGCCCGCGCCGCCCGAGCCGCCCGAACCGCCCGAGCCGCCCGAGCCGCCCGAGCCGCCCGAGCCGCTCGAGCCGCCCGACCTGCCCGAGCCGCCCGAGCCGCCCGAGCCGCCCGACCAGCCCGAGCCACCCGAGCCGCCCGAGCCGCCCGAGCCACCCGAGCCGCCTGAACCGCCCGAGCCGTACGAGGAGCCGAGCCGCTGGTGCCACGGAGCCGCAAATGCTGCTGTGCCGTCCAAGCAGCCGTGTTGCAGTGCTGCTGTACTGGTGAGCTGCCCGACCCGCCCTGTCTGGTGAGAGCAGCACTTCTGTCACTGCACTGCCCCTATCCTACAGTTGTTCCTGCTAGTCTACTGCTGTCATGGCTACCCCCAGTGTTCTCGCTTTTGACGCTGAGGGTCGAGCTATTGACTTTGAGGTTTGGGTAGATGACCTGCAGCTTTTCCTACACTGCGATAGGGCAGACGGTCTCTCCCTCTTTGACCTCACCTCTGGTGCTTCCCCTGCCCCTGCTGCCGATGCCGACGCCACTGTTCGCTCCCAGTGGGCCACTCGCGATGCTGCTGCACGTCTTGCTGTGCGTCGCCACCTGCCTACCACTGAGCGCGCGCACTTAGTCAGTACAAGAGTGCTCAGACCTTGTACGACGCTGTAGTTGCACGCTACTCTTCCCCTGCCACTGCTTCACTGAGTCGCCTCATGCTACCGTACCTCTTTCCTGACCTTGCTGCCTTTCCCACATTCGCTGACCTCATTGCGCACCTCCGCACTAGTGACACTCGCTACCGCGCCGCGCTTCCTGCTGAGTTCTGCGCCAAGAACCCCCCCCCCCATGTACATCACTCTCTATTATATAGTCACCCGCCTCCCTGACTCCCTCCGCGTAGTCAGGGACCACTTTCTCTCAGTCTGTCCCACCACTCTCACTGTTGACCTCCTAGAGAAGGCCCTCCTAGCAGCGGAGAAGAGCATAGTCG